GGTCCAGATGATGAAGAGGGAGAGGAGCAGAGAGGTCCAGATGATGATGTAGAGGGAGAGAAGTACAGAGCTGCAGAGGAGAGGGCTGAGGCAAGGCTTTATTCAGAAGATCCATCCGAATGGCCTTTACCACACAAAATGGGGGACACATTTAGGCAGTACATGGTTGAAAATGGCCCACAGAAAGTTTCTGATGGTCCATATCCAAGATCAGAGAAGAATAAGAGGTGTTTTTCCAAAGCGTACTGTTTTCGTATACTGTCTAATGGAGAGAAAGTTGAACGAGATTGGTTACTGTATTCCAAAAATACCAGCAGAGTCTATTGTTTTGCGTGTAAGCTTTTTGGTGAAGCTAAAGTTTCTGATACATGCCTTGTGGCAGGGTACAGTAACTGGCGATATCTTTCAAAAACACTGAAGCACCATGAAACCAGTAGTTCTCACATAAATGCTTATCTGATGTGGAAAGAAATGATATCTCGCTTACGCCTAGGTAAGACTATTGATAGTGAACTGCAGAGAACCATGGCAGCTGAAAAAGCATACTGGAGAAGTGTGTTGACTCGAGTTATTGACTGCATACTCTTCCTTGCAGAGAGAAACTTGCCACTAAGGGGGAAAAATTCTCAGTTAGGAAATCCTAAAAATGGAAATTTTCTGGGAATCCTTGAGCTCATTGCACGATATGATGTCACACTGGCAGAACATCTTAGAAAGGCAGCCTCCAAACAAACCACTGGATATCTGACATGGTGCACTCAGAATGAATTTTTAGATTCAATATCAGAGTGTGTTTTGGGTAAAATATCTGCCCAGATCAAAGCCTCTAAGTACTTTGCAGTGGAACTGGACTGCACACCTGATATTTCAAAGCAAGAGCAGGCCTCAGTCATTATTCGATATATTGATACTGATGAGAAGAAAAAAGTCACTATTGCAGAGTCTTTTGTGGGGTTCACTGCTGTGAAGGACACAACTGGGAAAGGCCTCACAGATACACTAACAGGGGTTCTGGAGAGTCTGGGGTTGGATTTGGCTAATTGTAGAGGGCAAAGTTATGACAATGGCTCTAATATGAGGGGAATAAACAAGGGTGTTCAAGCTTTAATACAACAGAGATGTCCAGAGGCTTTATTCATCCCCTGCTGCAGCCACAGCCTGAACCTTTTGTTATGTGATGCAGCCTCATCTAGCAGAGAGTGTCTCACTTTTTTTGGCACTGTTCAAAGATTGTACACAATCTTTTCGTCTTCTGTGAAGAGGTGGGACATTCTCACAGAGTTTGTCGACATCACACTGAAGCCTCTGAGTGACACCCGGTGGGAGGCAAAGCTAGACTCTGTCAAAGCTATACGTTTCCAGATGGGGGGAATTTTAGATGCACTACAAAAGCTTGGAGAAGTGGCAGGAGACAGCAAGATTGTCTCAGAGGCAAAATCACTATCTGATGAGATTGTCAGTATGGAGTTCCTTGTGTGCCTCATAATTTGGTATGCCTTATTATGTGAGATCAACTTTGCAAGCAAGGCACTACAAGCAGCAGATGTGTCAATGGACACAGCCATTAGGCTAATCGAGTCTCTGAAAGAGTTTTTGCTCAAATATAGAGAAGAGGGCTTTCAGAAGTCACTTGACATTGCAAGCAAAATAGCCATCGAAATGGATGCTTCTCCTAAGTTCAAAGAGAAACGACTTAGGAAGCAAAAGAATTTCCCAGATGACAATTCATGCACTGGTCATCATGAAAAGGAACCCACAAGGCACTTCAGGTGCATGGTTTTCAATGTTATTGTTGACACACTCCTCCAAGAGCTGTCTGAGAGGTTTTCCAATTTTCAACTTGTGTCTGAGAAATTTAAATTCATCACTAAAATGGAGCACATGACAAAAGCTGAGCTGGAGGAATCAGTGACCACATATGCCCTGACCACTTGTGATGTTTCAAGAGATATCATTCAAGAAATATACCCAGCAAGCCGTCTACTGAAGGGTTACAAGGCTCTAGAAAAGTTAAATTTCCTAATTCAAGAGGACCTTGATTTGGTATTTCCAAATTTGACAGTAGCCCTTAGAGTATTTTTAACCATGCCTCTGACAGTTGCATCTGCAGAGAGATCATTTAGCAAGCTGAAGCTCATCAAAACATACCTTTGTTCAAATATGAGCAATGATCGCTTGTCCCAGTTAGCAGTGATCTCTATTGAAAACAGTGTGGCACGGTCTATTTCATTTGATGTTATACTTGACAAATGGGCAAATGCAAAGTCACGGAATGTAACAGTTTAAATGTCATAAATGTTAAAACTCTGACATGGACTCCAGGCTGTTAAGATGTCATATTTCCGCTACATAAAATGTTGAGCACTGACTGAGTACCACTACTGTTATATATTTGTACTTTATAAAACTTCTTATTTGTTTATGATTGAAATGATCACCTGATATAATATGTAACATTAAAAAAATCTGTAATATTACTACTGTATTTTCTAAGTGCATGACTAAGCTGTATGAGGCGGCAAGTAAAAAGGAGCGGGTGGGGGGGGCGCCGATGATGTGTTCGCATCCACCTCAAAAATATGTAGTTGCGCCCCTGGATGCATCTGCAGGTCGCCCGTTATCCACCCAGCGCTTGTCACACTGGCTGTGTGAGGCCTTTTTTTTTTTTTCTGAAGCCTACAGAGCATCAGATTTAGAGCCTCCTGTCAACCTCAGAGCACACTGACATGGGGTACTGCATCTTCGACTGCTTTGCATAATGGTATGACAATGCAGGACTTTTTGCACTGCGGCCGCGTGGTCAACACCCTGCTCATTCATTCATTCGCTCTTATCTACGTGATGTGACGGCTCGTTCCATGACACATTCTGTCAATATATATATAGAAATATTTAATATTAATACTAATTATTTGTGTGAATATTATTAATATTGATGATTATTAATATGTTAACAATAATTAATACATTAATAATTATTAATAATTCGTATTTATTGTTAATATTAATAATCACTAATATTAATATTTATTATTAATAATAATTTAATAATAGGCAGTCCCCAACAAAGTTTCTCCAGGAACTTTCTAGTTTTGCATTATATTCTTCTAAAATCAGAGTTGCTATACCCATGACATGAAATGCTGGATTAATTATAAGTTTTTAACACACTTAAAATTTCACTTCACTTCTTTGAAGCAAAAATAAAAAAAGGTTTGTAGGTTCAATCATCCAGGTAGATGACAACAAAAAAGGTTAAATAATTTCATCTGGACCAGTTTCTTTGAAGCAAAACCTGTCGCAGGCGAGCAGCGCCCTCTGCTGGCCGGACTCATCTATTACAACAATTATGTCTCATTGAAGGAATCAGTCATAGAGAAAAGAGAAAACTGTTTTTTTATCACCCCTGAAAGTCATTTATTGCGTTTAAGTTGTAAAACAATCTGATTAACCTTGATTAGACCTGTCTCCTAATTGATTATATCTCACAAGGCAAATTCTCCATTTGCCATAATCAACACTAAACTTTGCTTACAAAGCAGTTTTACATTTGTTTCTTCAGTCTCATAGGAATTTTTATAAACTTTAAAATCTTGACACACAAATTAAAGCGTCAATTTTCCTTATTTAGAAAAAGTAAAACGAATAAATGTCTGTCTCAGAAAAACATTTGTAAATGAATCCAGCCCAAGTTGCTGAATTTTACAATGAAATTGGAAATGTTTTGTTTACAGCAAGTACAATTTTAAATAAACATTTGAGTGTTCTTGTAGTCTGAAAGAAAAGGCAAAAATATTCAGTAAAAAACAACAAAATACCTGATGTAGCATCTCTGTGGTGGATTTTAAAAACAAAACAACAAAATGCTTCTACCATAAACTCTTATAGTTTGATCTTCAAGTTTTTAACACAGCACTTGTGTAAGCTTGCATTTTGCCAAAAGGGTGGACCAGAGTAATTTTCCAGAATGGAAAACTGAAATCAGAGTCTCAAGACTTGAACGCTGGATCACGGGGCAACAGGCGGGCCGAACATTTCCATCGTATCTATAACGAGCGACAGATGATCGAGAAATGAGTTGACGGACACTCTGAGGATCCGAGCCTCGTCTGCGCTCCACCTCCTGAGACAAAGACACACAGGCTGAGTGAGATGATCAGACTTCAGATTGATTCACAATCAAAGAGAAGGTCGCTCACACAGACAGCGTGCTGCCGGACACACTCAGTTGTTTGCTGATGCCGCCTCGCCTCGGCTCTTGATCAGGTGACAGGGACCGCAAGGCGACGATGGCCTCAGTGGATGATGGGAAGGGGACATCCAGAGAGCTTTAGGACAGTCAAGGAAGACTGAACTGCACAAAAACTAAAAGGCAGATATCATTTTACAAACACATCTAAAAAATGAATTATATCCAAATTGTTCCATCCACCCTACTGCTCTGAAGTCGAACTGCGGAGCAGCTTGAGCAGGAGGCCCAGACATCTCTCTCCACAGCCACCTCTTCTGGGAGGATTCCAACATGTTCCCAGGCAAACCAACGAAAAGTCTCTCCAGTGTGTCCTGGGTCTTCCCCGAGGTCTCCTCCCAGTCAGACATACCCAAAGAACCTCCCTAGGGAGGTGCCCAGAGAGCATCCCTACCAGATGCCTGAACCACCTCAACTGGCTCCTCTCGATTTGGAGGAGCAGCACTTCTACTCTGAGTCTCTCCTGATAACTGAACTTCTCATCCTGTCTCTAAAGGGGAGTCCAGCTACCCTGCAGAGGAAACTCATTTTAACCACCTGCATCCAGGATCTCATTCTTTTGGTCACTACCCATAGTTCGTGGACATATTTGTCTGCCAATCCAATGGCAACACCACCGATGTCCATGTGATGTTACAAAGACGTGTCCACCAAGACACCCCCATGACATCCAGAGCCTTAAGGAAATCAGGGCAAATCTCATCCACCCATGAAGTCCTGATGCTGTGGAGCTTTTTAACTACCTTGGTGACCTCAGCCATGGTTATGGACAGGCCTACCCCGAAGTCCCCACCCGACTCAGATTTCTCCGTGGAAGACATGCTGGTGGGGTCGAGACGGTCCAGTAATTATTCCTTCCACCTCCTGATGAGTTAAACCAAAATTAAAATAATCATAAAGAATAATAAAACGAAAGCAAATGATCTAAAACTACTGAGCTGAGCCCACTTTTATTTAAACTCAAACTAATCAAATCACTTACATGTGACAAAATGTACACGTGAAAATGTGCATAAGTGCGCATGAACTGTTTAGGTGAAATTATTGGAAACGTTTTCAAAGATAAGCATTCACAAGTTTACATACTTTGAAAACTGAATGAACTAAAGTGGCACAGCATTCTCAAAAAATATATTCAAATCTAAATAAATAAGTTTTACTTTCAACCACTTAAATGTTTCAACAGGAAATAATTAAAGTTTAACTATCGGCTTCAGAATATGATGCATACAGACGACAGAAGCGGCTCCACAATTTTATTCTGTTTAATCTGGTTTCTGCAGTTAAATGTTGCTAATTTTAAAGACGATAAAAATCCCACAGCTCTCCTGTACCTGCGAGGGTAATGTCTGTGAGAATCTAAAGGATACAACTCCAGTTTGCCAGTTTCTGAATTCGTTTCTCCGTCAGCCGCCATCGCTGTTGTTATGACGAAGCGAGTGAACCGGAAGTGGAACTGATGTAGTCTTGTGTTTTGGCGCGCTGCTGCCCCCAGCGGCACATGGTGGTATTACAGGTCGAGCCTGAAATACTGTTATAAAAGGACTGGAAGGATAATGAGAATAACGCCTCTTATAAAAAAAAAAAAAAAAAAAAACTTAAGACTCTTTTAAAAAAAAAAAAAAAAAAAAAAAATCTATCACTGAAGTAAAAAGAAAAAGTTGTTTTTACATTTTGGCATTTTAGATTTGGCAATAAACAAAAAGGGAGTAGTTATTACCATGACTGTTATAAAATGAATAAATGCAAACATTTTCAAGACAAGAATAACATTACATTGTCAAAATTATTGCAACGTGTTTATTGATATTATAGTAGAACAATACATTTTTTGAAAAAAAAAATGTTGTTACAAATGTTTTGTCAGGTAGCAACACTGGAGCTTCACATTTTGTCAGAACAGGAACGTTTAAGGTGTAAGGCAATCTGAAGTCCATCATTCTGCAGCGATAAAAAGCTAAACAGTTTTAAATATTTAAGGCAGTTAATATTTATTTTCCAGAAGTTAAATACCCAACAGATTGAACTTGAGAGTAATTAGAAAACACCAAATATTCTTAGTTTTAATGTTCATGATTATGATTCATGATTCCTTAGATAAATAACATTACTAATTGATTTTTATGTATGTGAATGTTTTTGTTCAGTGCCCTGAGATAACTTCTGTTGTAACTTGGCACTATAGAAATAAACTGACTTGAATTGAATTGAGTTGAATGATATGACAATTAGGAAAAAATACACCTTATTGGGGAAAGTTGTCAAAAGGAAAACCTCTTCCCAGAAGCATATAGGTATACAATGTTATATTTATTGTAACACAAGTCTGCTGGATGAAATTATTTTGATAGATAAGGCCAAAAATAAGATGCTTGGTAAACACAGCATGCCAAATGTCAAAAACAGTAGTGGAGAGAAGATGACTTGGTCTTGTTTAGAGAAAAACATAGAGTCAGTCAGAATTTAATTTCTCTGTACATGTTATAAAGTAGGGCAGCACGGTGGCGCAACTGGTAGAGCTGCTGCCTCTCAGCAAGCAGGTCCCCGGTTCAAATCCCGGTCCGGTGGCTTTTCTGGGTGGAGTTTGCATGTTCTCTCCGTGCATGCGTGGGTTTTCTCCGGGAACTCCAGTTTCCTCCCACTGACCAAAAACATGCATTTAGGCTGATTGGTTACTCTAAATTGTCCCTAGGTGAGAGAGAGTGAATGGTTGTTTGTCTCTATGTGTCCCTGTGATGGACTTGTGACCCGTCCAGTGTGTACCCCGCCCCTCGCACAGTGATTGCCGGACATGGGCACCGGCGACCCCGGTGACCCAAAATGGAAGAAGCGGGTAAAGATAATGGATGGATGGATGTTATAAAGTAATCTATTGTAAAGCTTGACCCAAGTCGAGCCGTGAAACAGGAAAATGATCCCAAATGCAAAGGAGATCACAAGTCTGCAAAACTGAATGAAATGAAGCCATCTATCCATCCATCCATCAATCCATCCATCCATTCATCCATCCTTCTGTAGTGGACTCGGCCTCCGACCAAAACCTGCCTCTGAAGACCTTCATGGGACAGGAACTGTTATTTCATTGATAAGAATCCAGAAATACAAATTAGCTCATCCAGAGACTTTCTAATTGTATCCTGAACTAATCAATTGAAAGAACACTCTTCTTTTATATTATCATTACTATTTTAAAATATCTTGATAAATCAAAAGTGTGTTTAGTTCATACCATTTTTAAATGTTGAAGTGAACCACTCATTTTAAATCAACTGTGAAACAGTATTAATGATTTTTTTCATCCTCATTTAAATTAGAAATTAAGTTAAATGTCTATTTACAAAGTAATTATGCATTTTGATCTTCTGTCTGAAATGAGAAGGAGTGATGTCGGTCAAAAGTCGGAGACAGTCAAAAACAAGTTGTTAGAATGGGCTGTCGTGTTTTTAAACCTCTCAGACAGAAACAAGAGAACTGGCACCTGCAGTGTTTCTCACTTCGCCAAAACATTTCTCTGTCTGTTCCTAAAACATTCCTGCTGTTTTCTTGACTTGTAATGACCCTCTGACGTCACTAAAACCACACCCCTGTTGGTTGCTTCAACCAATCAGGAAGTACTAAAAGTGACCGGAAGCAGAACTTTTTAAAAGTCGACACTTCCTGGAACTATTCAGGTTCTGGAGGGAGTTCTAGCAGTTCTGTAGAGTTCTGGAGTTGTCTGACATCTTCCTGGATTCCGGTGGAGTTTTTCCACTGCTGGGTGGAACTTCGGACTCAGTTTTCCAGTCTGATGGAGTCATCCATCTCTGCAGGCGTCACGGCGCCTCGCTGTGACGTCCCTCGGGCGAACGCCCTACACCTTCTGAGGAAGTTTGTTCTGTAGAACAGAGTATCTCACGACTTCTGCCGAGTCGCAGCCGCCCTGAGGAGACACTGAAAGGTAGCGTGCCAGGGACCTCTTGACCGTTGCGGACCCATCCTCTGCCAAGGTAAAGAGTCGTTGCGAGCTTCACGCACTAAGTGTACCGCGGGCGAGCTGCGTTTGAAAGGAGCGTGTTGTTCTGGTCCACAGACATACATCTTCCTCCATTTTCCACTCTCCCTTTAAACTCCTCCATTTTTCCCATCTTTAAACTTCTATCTTGCCAGTAATTATTCTAGATGCCTTCAGAAATGTCTGTTGTTTTTATTAAGTAAAACGTGCCAAGTTTTATTAATCAGAACCAGTTCAGCTAATCAAGTGTACAATGTTTTGATGTTAAATTTTGATTCTGTTCAATAAATGACCACATTTATTATGATGGGTCAAAGAGAATTAACGTCTCATGTCACTGATTAAACCATCTACGCACAGTTACTTCTGTCACATGGCTGTAATTAGCTCGAAAAAGAGAGAACTCGTTATTTAAATATAATTGTAGTGAAGCTGAAAGCTAACGGTAGCCCTTAGAACACTACATCTATCAAGGACGGAGCCGTGGAGGCCCTCAGAGGTCCTCTGGCCCCTCCGGGCTGCTCGCAACTCTGCCAGTACAACCTACAGCCGAGGTAATGGCAGTCACACGTGCACAGGCTACAGCCAAGCCGGCTGACAACACAGTCTCTGTACAACCCGTGCTGACTGACCCAGACATCATCCAACTTCAGAAGTTGGATCCTGCAATAAACTCAATGATGCTGTCTTTGACTGACCCAGGGAAAAACATTCCATCCGAAGCAGACCTGGATTCCGATCCAGACCTTAAAGTCCTCTTTCAGCTGCGCAATCAGCTAAAACTACTCAAGGGCAACCTAACTTTAGCTCATGGAGCGACGTCCTCACCCGTGTTCGTGGTCCCCCATGACCGAAGGGGGGTGACGTTAGTTAGGGTGATGCTACCAGATGCGATAACGTGTTCAAATCTGACATTCAGAGTGAGTGACGCACCGAAACGTCGTTTTCTAGTTGCTTAATCACTACTTTTGTCCATGTTGAAACGTTGTTCTTCTGGTTGCTTAGTCACTATTTTGTCGATGTTGAGACATCGTTTAATTAGTTTTTGGTATTGTTTCTGAACACCCCCAGCAAGAATGAATTTTGTGTGTATTTTAGTTAGAGACTAAGAGGACTTTAACTGTGAAAACATGCAGTTCATTTCTTAAAATTCAATCTTTGCGGAGTCAATGTAGATTAATGCTACCTTAAGTACCATAATCTACATTGGTCTCATGACGATCAAGTCGATCCTACTCGAACAATCCTATTCGGGGAGGGGGCTAGCTGATCCTTCAGTTGAGTCTCGCCATAGACTCCAAAACATTTAGGGGAAAACCAAAAACCAAACCTCAAGTCGTTCGTCTAAAAGGACAACAGACAATTGAACCAAACTATATTTTGCCATGTAAATCTAACTTAAACCAAGTTAGGAATGGAAAAATAGTTTGGAATGCCCTTCTATAGGTATGAATCCCTATATAAAAAAATTTCAGCATGACCCACCCTTTAAACTGGTAACTTTAGCTGATCTAAACCATGATAGCTTACACACCAGGTGCATATAGGTTAAGGTCTTATGTAAAATCCCACTCATAAGCCCAACTAAAACCACATAAATGCATGACACATAGAACCAGAATGGCACCCACTGGGAACCACCAGTAGCAACCTTGGCTGAAGGGACCTATGACTCCAACGTGGGTCTCCAATCTCCATCCAGTGGTCGCCTCTGCAGTTCAATCAAGGGAACCCCTCTGCATGCTGATCAGTCAACACCTCCAATCGTTGTGGATTTATTGTTGTGGATTATATGACTTTTTCAATGGATTACAGACTCTGTTTCCAAGGGGTTAAAACATTGCTACAATGGAATTACCTACAACATAATGGAATTACCAAAAACATCATGGAATTACCAACAACATTGTGGAATTACCTAAACCGTTGTGGGATTACCTTCTTTGACTTTTGTTTTCCTCTTGCTGGATTACATTGAGATCAAGGACATTCGGAGGCGTAAGTTCATGTTGGAATTCATCCCCATGGACAGGCGATGATTTCCAAAGGGGGGACTGTAGTGAACTCGGCCTCTGATCAAACCTGCCTCTGAAGACCTTCATGGGACAGGAACTGTTATTTCATTGATTTGAATCCAGAAATACAAATTAGCTCATCCAGAGACTTTAAACTTCTATCTTGCCAGTAATTAATCTAGATGCCTTCAGAAATGTCTGTTGTTTTTATTAAGTAAAACGTGCCAAGTTTTATTAATCAGAACCAGATCAGTCTAATCAAGAGTACAATGTTTTGATGTTAAATTTTGATTCTGTTCAATAAATGACCACATTTATTTTGATGGGTCAAAGAAAATTAACGTCTCATGTCACTGATTAAACCATCTACGCACAGTTACTTCTGTCACATGGCTGTAATTAGCTCGAAAAAGAGAGAACTCGTTATTT